CTAGTGAGGCCACAAAGCCTGCCAAGTTTCAGGGTGATAGGTGCAGGGGTTTGGGGGGAACTGCACCTCAAGCTGCTGACAGGCAAAACTCGTGACATAGATGATCCTGTGCGTGTTAAGGTGCAGCAGGCTGAAAACTGCAGGGGCTAGCATCCCTACAGCTTTCAGCCTGCTGCGCCTTGACATGCACACTGTCACCCATGTCACGGGTTTTGCTTGTCCGCAGCTTGAGACGTAATTTTCCCCAAACCCCTGCACCTATCTCCTTGAAACTTGGCAGGCTTTGTGGCCTCAGCAGAGACTGCCACCCCTGCGGTTTTGGCCCCACTGTGGCTTAACACATACATGTGACATGAGTTTCGCTTTCAAGAATTTGGGGTACAGTTCCCCCCAAACCCCTGCACCTGCCTTCTTGAAACTTGGCATCCTTCATGCACTCAGCATATCACCCCTGCAAGTTTCATCCAAATCAGACAAAAAACAACAAATTTATAGATATTTAATTGATTCCCCATTATACCCTGTGGCCGGATGTCCGAAGCGGCTCTGAAGCTTTTCCAAAGTGGTTCAGTATCTCTGAACTGCTTCGGAAAGCCTCAAGAAGCCAGTGCTTCAATCCAGACATGCTGCTTTGGCGTCCAAAGCATCTGAATCTTCTCCGGATCTGAAGCACGGTCCAAAGCCTCTCACAGCCCTGCCTAAGACTGCATGTAAGCATTGTACGGGAGGCAAGGATTTCTTAGGGTGATATCATTTATTGGATCAACTGTATGGTTGGGACAGAGTTAGACAAGCTTTCAAATGCAAGACTTCCTTCATCATAGCATCTCTGACCTCCATGTATGCCCATTATATGGTGACACTTTGTAGCTTTCTTGAGAAAAGCAAAAAACCCCACCAGCAACAAAAGTATCTCTCTCAAGTTAAATGAGTCATTAAAGACAGACACTGCTGTCATCGTCTTATTAAAGGGACATTTACTGACTTGCATCTAACTCTGCTAGCAGTCAAAAGCATTCAGATATGAGTGCCGTACCTATATGGAAGTACGGTCACATCATCAAGGCTCTGTGCAGTAATCTACATGTCTAGATTATGCTATTGGATCTAGGCTGTATCTGTAAATATATTAAAAGTCTACCAGCCCAATCCTGCCACCACTGAAGGAAGTGGCAAGATTTTCATGATCTTCAGTGAGCATAGGGCCCACCAATGGGAAAGGAGGATTCTTGGTACTCATTTTTTACCTAACATCCCTGGGGAAAAATGTAAAGCTTGTTGAGTGAAACCATTTGGTTCCTAGCATACTAATGCAGATGACATTATGCTAGAATTTCCAGTACTACCAGGAATTGTTTAAAGCCACCCCTTCTTTTCACTGCATTTTAAAATAGCCATTTCATTTCACATCTGGCTTTATGACGCCATAACAAAATGCCCTTGTGGAAAAATTTAACGGGTGAAACGTACCGGGTAGCATACAGATTCAATCGGATTCTATGGCAATTACTCTGTAGACTTCAATGGAAAGAGATTCTGTCTCCATATTTTGTAATCCTCCTTCACATGAAGCTACAGTGGGGATGCAATTCTTTCCTAAGTTTAAGAGGTTGATCCAAAAACCTAGTAAGCCAGATCCTCAGCTGATGGGCCTCCACTGGGGACAATGGCAGCTTACTGATTTACATCAGCAAAGCATCTGGCCAGGCAAAGAGTTTTTACTCTATTAAAGGTCTCTGCACAGGACATTTCCTTAAAATGCTGGGCCTGTCTTCTGGACACTCTTCCTTTAGCATGACATGCATGCCAATGCAGAGAAACTGCACAGGCCTGTATGCCTTACGTAGGGCACAACTCGCAGAAGGGCCCCCAGGAGACTTTCAGGCACTGGCCTGGAGGAGCCTTCATGTGAGCTGTACAGCTACTCCCTGGTCTTGAGGAAGAATCCTTCCTTTCCAAGGCCACATAGGTATGTTTGGGGAGGATGTGCTGCCTGGACCGTGCCTTCTCAGTTGTAAGGGGTGGGGACCTTCCTTCACAATGCTCAGTCTGGGGGGTTGCTGCAAGGTAGGAGACGCCCCACTTCACCCCTCCACTGCAACGGTTGCAGTGGTTCTTACCTGCTGAGGTCTCGTGCTGGTCCTTCTCAGTCCTCAGAAGCCAGTAAGTCGATCTGTGGAAAGAGCTTCAGGAGGGGCAGTCCTCCAACATCCCAGGGAGAAGTGCCTTGTTTTCAACCTGGGTGCACAAGCCAAGGATTTTCTTCTTGATGTGGGGTTTCTTCAGTGTCCGGGGTCTCTGTATCGGTGCCATTGCACCCCTGCTGAGTCACTGCAACCAGAGGAGTGTATGGACGTGCTGGCAGGAACAGGGCGGGAATCTTAGCATCCCTTCAGTCTTCACTAAGCCGTTTCCACGAGAGGGGAGACATCACTGACCTTGATTGTCCTTCTCCTTTGCAGTCGGGAGTGTGTTACTGAGGACTTGGGCTGACTACGCATCTTCTGCCTTGCTGAACACTTGGTAATGTGTTGGTTCAATATAGTGCCTTCTGATTTTAACCTCAGCTTGCTGCATGCAGGATTTCACCTGTGGAACACAAAAGCAGTCGATATAGCATGCACCTCTGTTCCTCAACACTGGATGTGTTCCTTTCATCCTACAGTACACCGGCATGGAGAGGTTTTCACTATATCCCATCTGGGCTGTGTCACAAGTCACCAGGATTTAACAAATGTCTGAAATGCATTCACTCTAACCCAGTGACTCACTGCTGCATTGGGATTTAATTATCTTAATCTAATTCTTGTGGATTTAGGCAAAACTAAGGTCTAGCAAACAAACAAACAAAACTATAAAAAGCTTTCAGGAAATATAGGTCCTCTTCTAGTACCTTGACAGGTAATGTGATTCATCAGGAGTAAGTTTTAAGATGCTTACTGTGAAGAAAGGCTGGGAGTACCAGAAATGCATGATCATTCTGCAAGTTGGGTTTATTTTGCATAGAAACACAGTCCAGCTCCCTGCTATTATAGGCAGTCATGGCAAAACAATTATGCTCCATCTTAAAATCACTTTGCTGTTTGCCCCTGGCAGGCTGTTCCAGGACCTTGCTCCTCTGGTTGTTAGAAACCTCCTTCTGTTTCCAGCCTAAATGTATTTATGACCAGTTTATGCCCATTTCTTCTTTTGTCCTTGAATTCCAACAGCGTGTCTCCCTTCCTAGCGCTCACCCCCTGTTCCTCCACTGTGTTTACACAGCAATCCTGTCCCTCCTCAGTCTTTGTCTTGCCATAAATAGGACAAATTACTATTATGTTTAAGAATTAAAAAAACATGTCCTTTCTGAAGACTTTGAGCTTGTCTGAAGGAAAAAAAATTAGGCCAGATTCTCAGCTGGTGCAATAGATCCACACAGCCAAGGGGCTGGGCCTTTATGCTTACACATGAGGATCTCAAATGGGCTTGTGAAATTTGGATCTGGAGGTAATGGCAATCTGGTGTCTAAACTTTGGTGCCACATAGCTGCTACGTTGTGGATCATCCTGATGCCTGGATATCTAATCTCTTTAATTTTTCTGTTCTGTACTGTTCAGGTTCTTTTAATATGATAATGGGAAAGGCCATCTGAGCATAGCTACGGTATCTGAAGAACTTTAGTTCTCTCTCTTTCTTTTCTTTAGGCACAATTGGATTCAAGTCATGGAACATGGATCCAGGGACTGGCTCGAAGTTCAAGAAAGTTCAGGGCTGGTGCTCTGCTTTAGGCCAATGTGCAATAAGGATAAACATTATAGCAGTATTTTAAGTCACCCTTTCCCCTGGAGCAGAGCAAAAAACTGTCCCTGGGCAGATGATGCTTGCAACTCCCTCGAGAGGCAGGTGGCTAGTACTATTCCTATTTGCCAGATGCCTCAGTGTGAAGAGGGAAAGAGCCCTGCCCAAGGCCAGAGAGAGGGATTAGTATCAGAGCTGGGATTAGAGATTTAGGAGCTCCTGACTCCCCTCTCTGTGGACTTATCCAGGGGTTTGATATGGGGGTGGTGGTTACCAGGGCTCAACACCTCTCATGATTAAATCTCCAGGATACCCTGACTCCAAGACTTTGATAGTCATTAGGCAGCAGTTCCTTCTTAATAAGGGAAAAGGAAGTCTCTGCTTGACAAGCAAATTCAGAAATGATGTGAATATAAAAGTGCAGATTAAAATAAGCATTGTGTGTACCTTTATTGCAGAGTGTTGTCCAATGGGGAGAGCATCAGGAGATTGCAATTCTTACCTTGGATTGGCAGATGATTCACCTTGTGATGCAGAAGAAGTCAAAGATTTAACTCTTCTCTGTGTTTTTTTGTCTTCCTTTCTGCTGGTTTCCCCTATAATCTCTCTTTGGTGGCAGTGCCTGTCTTACTATGTACAGCACCTAGCAGAGTAGAGGCGGAGCCTGTCAAAGACTTGAAAAATTGTATTCCTGGGTAAAAAAATAAAACCCAGGGAACTTTGGGAGTGGTCTTATCTCAACCTGATATAAACTGCTCTGCAATATACTCAGTGCTGTTGGGCTTAATAAATAATAAAATAACACTACTAATATCAAGAAAATATAAAAAACCCCCCCTGTTGCTCTGCAGCCACTAACAAGCTTTTTTTTCTTCTTCACAGCTCCATGGCTTTTGGCATTGCTTGCTTACGCCAGCATTTTACTTCCAGGTCCCCAGTAAAAATGTGCTGAGATGTCACAACTTCTTCTGGTGCAGTACAACAGAGAGGGGTGGAAAAACACATGCAGTGTTTTACATTAGTAAAATACTCTAAGCAGCATGTTAACAAATTTATCAGGAAAACAAATTGCTTTACCATTTGTTACTGATGGGACATCAGCTCGTTAAATGCTGCTTCATTTTTCACTCTAGGACCATCTTTTTTTGGCCTTCCCCCTACAGCTCCGTCAAGGCCGCTTGTACATTCAGGGTCCTGATGACTGTCTACCTAAACAGCCTTTTCTTTTTAAAGATGCACTGTAGTAATGCCGAAGACGTTTTTAATCTGATATGGTGGTGCAGGGTTTCTATGATCCGAAGGGCCTGATAACTGCTGCCTCCTATTTATGCCAATGGCTCTGGATTGAATTACGCACGTGAGTAAGGCGCTTTCACACCGAGCCTGCAGGTTCAGACCTGAAGATTTTTACAGGGTTGCACTTGTGACCAAAGGGGGAAAGTAGCAGTGTTACTGTTGGGAGGTTGTACAGACCAGCAGGCTCAGTCGGGTTTGTCTGGGCTGCTCGTTGTCCACTGAAGGGGTTCTTGCTTCTTCCTTGAAGGCTGCTGCTGGGAACAGGATGCAGCAGCAGTCCCCAAACTGACAGATGGCGCATCGCCAGTTTAAAATGATAGGATCTGAAGTCCCACCAGCAAATGTTTGTCATATAAAGTTATTATAATACACCTGTTAATGTGCACCACTGGTGGTACCCGGCGCACAGCTTGGGAGCCGCTGGGATCGGGGTGGCGTGTGATCTGGAATAGTGCCATCGCTGCCCCTATGCTGCAAATTGCTCCGGCCATAGACCTCGTCTACCTTGCCCCTCGGAGAAGCAGCAGCGACCCCGCACGTGCCCGGTTCTCACCGTGCCTCTTCCGAAAGCCCCGACTCCTGGAGTCTAGCGGTTACAGCCGAAGCGCAACTTCCATTTCATCAAAAATAACTCCTAGTCCCGCATGCAGAGGGGCCTTAGACAACGCGCCTGTGGCTTAGCGGCAGCGAAAGTGCAAGGCTCAGGCTTCGTACGCCAGGCGGGGGCGGCTTCGAGAGGCCTGGCTTGCAGCCTGTTGAGCGGTGGGAGGTGGCAGAGCTCTGAGAGCCAGGCAGGACCTCCGGGGCGCCCCGCGCAGGCCCTGGCCATGCCAGCCAGCCTCGAAAGGGCGCGGGCGAGCGCGGGCAGCCCCGCAGAAACAAAGGTGAGGGCTTGGCGGCCGCGTGGGGGGGTTGCTTGGGGCTCCTGGGGACAAAGGACACCGACACCGCGG